GTGTTTCCGATTGCACGTCATAGGGTGTACTAGTATATACACAACATTTGGAGCGCTGGTTATCGATTGTTCAACAAACCAAAACACCTCTCAGAAGTCACACATTCGTAAGCCTCTGCTACCTGATTTGTTCATGCGGATAATCGTGCTTCACTATATCGGCTATAGTGCTACCGCGTGCGGTCTTTAACGGTTTTACAGTCCCTGCAATATGCTTACGTTCTAGTCTAGACGAATTCGTTTGAGTTTCTATAGTAACATTACAAGGAATATCTAATATGTTATTTGATATGTCAGCGAACGGCTAGCGCTTTCGATATTTCAGAACAGAAATTGCCAAATTCGGTACGCTTATGGAATTGAGCGGAAACGCGCTGATGTTTTGCGAATTAACCCCCAATACGCGCCAATAACGGAGCAACATTCTCGACGCTCCATCGCAATTCATGAAGGCACTAACTACTCATTTCTTTGATGATTTGTTTAAATATTACGCTTTCCTCTACATAAATCCTACTGTATTCTGGACGTTTCGCATAACTTCCCTTCATGTAATTATAGCAGTAAATAGATATGCCGTTAGATATATATATCATACATATATATAGGAATGCTACATGTCATTGTGAACGTCATGAAATCATGTATTGAGATATGCACATAATTCACTTTATGAAATGCCCTAGGATTAGTAACGAAGCAGGGACAGGTCATACCATAACATCGTCTTCATTATACTGTTTTCTGCGTCGTCGATGTCGTGTGTGTCGTTTGACGTCACTTGCGTTTCTGTGATTTCAGCCGTGCACATATATATATGACATTGTATATATCTCCTATATATCTATATCAATGTTATATGTAATCCATATTACATATATATATATATAATCTATTGACATATGCACATCACTGCATTGGTGCAATTCCTTACCATTGCTAACGAAGGAGGGACACGTGATAGCATAACATCGTCTTGATGACACTGTGTTCTCTGTCGTTCATCTCATGTGTTTCGTTGCACGTCAATGTGTACTACATTAAATATTCAGGTGTTCCTCGATGTTCAGAAACAAAAGAACCTTCATAAGCCACACATTCGTAAGCGTCAGTTCAGCTTTAAAGCATTCTGCTGCTTTGTTGTACGTGCATCAATAGCGCCTAGGGCTTTTCATATTTCAACCACAATTACGCAAATGTCGTAGGCTTATGCAATTGAACGTGAAACGCGCAGATGTTCTGCTCATTAACGGGCAATAACCCCCAATACGCGGCAAGCATGCTCCGCGCAATATCACAATTCATGAAAGCACTAGCTAGCCATGTTTGACGTTATTTGTTGAAATCCTAACGTTTCCTGCACATCAATGCCAGTGTGTTGGTTACGTTGCGCAGAACTTCGACCATGCGTAAGCGTTGTATCGTTTATGCGAAATAAGTGTTCGGTATTAGTCGAATATAGTGTACACCCTTTGGTTTTACAGTCCTGCATATGTTACGTTGTAGTCTAGCGAATTCCTTTCACTTTCTATAGTCCTTATAAGAATTGTCATATGTCATTTTAGAAGATTGGGCGCAATCGGTACGCTTATGGAATGCAGACATACTGGCTTACTGATGACTACGTGATACTTAACGTAGTTCTGAGTACATTACTCGTACTAAGTACTAGCGTTACTTAGTAACGAGCACGTGAACGTCATGCATATCGTTTCTAACTTGTGTTGTCTTCGTTGATTCTGTGTTTCGTTGACGGTGAATGTGACTCATTATTATGAGGCTGTTATCGTGTCACAATTACACACCTTCATACCCAAATTCGTACAGTCCAGTTCGCTTTAACCTTCTGCTTGCTTTGTTGTGCGTATATGTACTACTACAGTTACAACGTTACGTACGTTTGATGTCAGTATTGTGCGAATGTCATCGTATATTGTTCCGACGTCGTCAAATGATGTTTCACATTATGCACTATGATTTGTGTCATCGTACTATTAGTTCCGCAGCGAGGGGAAGGTGATTACAGATTGTATGTATTGTGTTTTGACCAGATTTGCCCGAAATGGAAGAAGCAGAACGTGAGTAGAGCTATGTGCCATCGAATTTATGAGCTTCGTGATCGTCAATGTTCTGCAGCAAGCTTTCACGGACGCTTTTTCGACCGACTGGCAGGCAGTGAGGTTGGAGGGGCTGGAGCTTTTCCAATGCTTTCAGTTATGGCGATTTCCAGGTTAATATACAAGTTGTAGTATTAATATATTTAATGGACAGGTCTGACGTATACGTACTTTCGTGGGTACTGTTGTTCGATTGCTATGTGTGCCGTTTGAGCACATACAAATACTTCATATTCGACAAGTATATGTAACTTGCTAATTCCATATATTGCGTACCTATGATATCATGTACTCTATATGTCCTATATATTTGTAACGATTCTTGTATTGAGTGAACTGAAATACAATCTCTACTTACTGTACTAATACTAACAAACTTGGTTAGTTGATTTCGAGAATATCGGAGTATAACTAGTCTGATTCCATATTTCGTTAGAGTCACTAATACTTTATCGTTATGTAAGGAATTGGTCTTGGTCTTTATAATCGTTCATGTATTTGTTATATATTCGAGGGAAATCGGAATACTGCTATTTCACGCAATATGTATTTACTGGGGTGTGGTGACGCATTAATTCGCCGCAATATCTTCGGCCTAGGGTAATGTACACCCAAGATGGGTTGGTTGCTTTTACACAGGACATTTGGCCTGTTAACGCATAATGAAGTTAGTGATAGAACAGATACAAGCAGTTTTGGCGCGTTGTCACTGTAGTATTTCTTCCGCTGTTGATATTAGATGAAACCCGATCATCACCTGACGCCTTTTCCCCCCCCAATTATTCGTCCGTGTGTTATAGCTCAGGCGCGCCATTGAAAGTACGGCCTCAGAGATATTTTGAGAGGGGTAGTACTTTACCCGCCGTTTCCTATGTCCATGATTAGGGATATGTCGATCGTGTGACATTTCAAATTCATGGACATAGTTTTGACGAGGTTGGTTATATAGCTATAGTGATATAGAGCTCTTTGCTATTATGATATAGCTTCTCATCATACTCGCAACGTTCGGCGCATGTTGCAATTGGTCATTTCAAGCACCGAGCGACCGTAGTTTCCAATGAGCGGAAGTTCTGGCGAATCAAATGTGGCTATTACTGACTTCACGCTTGTGGTTAAGGGTGTCGTCTTATTTTTAAGAGCCGTTATGCTGCTAAAGAAATCCATGATTCGTCTAGGACGCATACAGTGAATAAGTTATTGCGTGTAGCATATTTTCCCGTTGCTCTACGGGTATTTATTCGGATTTCTTATATATTACCATATATTACATATTATTTTATATATTATGATTTTTTATATTATGATTATGTTGAATGTAAATGTTCAGTCAAGGAATTTCGCAAAATGCATCTCGGAGCGTCTAAAATCGAAACCCACATCCACCCACCTCCCCGCAAATGGCAACATTTTACTCACTGCGTAGCCTCAGCGCGGCACTTCAGAAACGTAACGGCTGGAACATATTTTTAAGGGCTAGTACATTTTACAGGTCACTAGCCCTGCTGGCTATTGAACATTTTAGGTTCGTTTGAAGCCCTGATATATCATATTATAATGACAGTGTACTATACACTACTGTCGTGTACTGTAGTCTGAATTGCTATGTGTGCGTTTCACACATAAAAACTACTTTCATAGATCGGACAAGTATATGTAACTTGCATAACTTCCACATATTGCGTACCTATATATCACTGTACTCTATACTGTACTATATACTGTAACACGCTTCATTCTATTAAGTGAACTAAGCAATACAACTCTATACTCTACTTCTACTAACTACTAACAAACTCTGTACTTCCAGTAGAGAATGACTCGAGTAGTACACATAGTCATGAACTTGCATATTTGCGTACACTCACTCATACTTGTGATCGTTACTATAAGCAATTCTTCTGGTCTTATAACATAGTACTCATGTATTTCTATAATCATGGTACTTTCCTGGAAATGAATGCCAGTGTATTCTTCGCGTTTCGCACAAGTTCCGTTCGTCTACTTTTAGCAGTATATATATATGGAATTATACCTATATCTCATATAGATGACCTAATGTTGCATCTCATTGTCAAGGTCATCACATCATGTATTGAGATATGGACATAACTGCATTTGTGTCATTTCCTAGCATTACTAAGGAAGCAGGGACACCAAATGAATGCATGCAAAGGACAGCATAGTTCGCGGAATTTCGTAGGCTCATGCAATTCAGCGGGAAAGGCGCAGACGTTCTGCGAATGAACCCCGCAATAACCGCCAATAGGCGACAACCATTATTTGCGCAATATCAGAATTCATGAAGGCAGTCACTAGGCATTTTTGAGGTGATTCCTTAAAATCGGAAGGTTTCCTGCAAATTAATGCGAGTGCATTCTTTACGTTTCGCAGAAGTTGCGTTCCTGTCATTTCAGCAGTGAATAGATATTTAATTAAACCTATATCTCATATATAGATTCCGAAATGTCATATATAATTGTGAACGTCATGAAATGATCTATTCAGATATGCACATAACTCCATTTCTCTCATTGCGTACTATTAGTCACGAAGCAGGGACAGGTGATAGCATATGATGGTCTACATGTAATTCTCTTTTGCCAGATTTCCCAGAAATGAACAACGGCGGAAACAGTGGAGTACAGCTCTGCGCATCGAACATTTACAGCTTCGTGATCGTTCAATGCTTTGCAGCAAGCATTGAACGGACGATTCTTTCGACCGAACTGGCCAGGCAGTGAGGTTGAGGGCTGGAGCTGTTCCAACTGCTTTTCAGTCTCATGACCATTTGCAGGTATAAATATACACAGTCTAGTAGCATATAGTATAGTAGCTCCAGGAAACGGTATTGCTAGGGTTAGAATACGTTATTGACGTTAGTCACACAGCCTGGTCGGGTTAATAGTATAGTATAGTGACAGTCTAGTGTACTGTACTGTACTGTACTCTAGTGTGAATTGCTATCGTAAACTCTCTTCAATTCTGAACTTCAATCGTAAAGATATGCTCGAGAAATCCTATGCCAAATACGATGGAAACTTCTGATGTTGAGTCAAATGCTTTTAGTCAGCTGCTGCATCACTAACATGCTGCTTTAACTTCTGTGCCTATAGCATCTTCACAGTCCACAAACACATGCACATGTTGCTTGTGCCAGTGCAGTTCAACAATTGCCGCAAGAACACGAGCTGCCATTGCCTGTGCCTGCGATCAACCCACCATGCATATTGCACTGCACTGTTGTGACCGACAATGTCATTTCTTGTCATTCGCAGCTTCTGTATGACTAAGATGTGCGTTTCACTTGTGTGCTTATAACATGTTGACAGTGCAGGAACGCATGCGCATATGCGTCGTTCCAATCAACTTCGACATTTGGCGACACAAGACGAGTTGCCATTGCCTGTGTGTATCATGCCAGCAACATCAATGGCTAAGAGAAGCAAGCTTGAACACCACTGGTATTGTTGCTTTAACTTCTTCTGAACGACTATGCACTATCACGGACGCGAGTTTTAACTTTCGGCGCCTACATACAGCTTCTATTGCCTTTCATTTCCTTTCTACAATTCGTACTGTCCAATTCGTAATTGACAAGAAATGATGCAGTGCAATGAACACTATTGAATTGAAGCTCACAACGCCAAAGTCCTAGGTCATGTGTCGTTGTGCATGAAACATCCACTGTTTGACACTACAGAATAAATGACATAAGTTGACACTTCTTGTCATACTATATGGATTTCAATGAAGTGGGGTAAGTCGTCATTGATAAGCGCTGAACATTATCATTTTCTCACTGCCGTACATGTCTGATGTGATAGCAACGACAGTGATTTCCCATATGTAAGTTGTCATTACAATTGAAGATACCGAACTGTACAGTGTCGGCGAATGTCATTCGCAAATCCTTCTTTCCACAAATCATCTGTCTATTTCGTCTTTGCTACGTATGATATGGCATTTCTTAAAAATACTCATCACGTGTAATCAACATTAAGTCTCATAAGTTCAGCTATTTCTCAATGCGCTCGTCATCTGGCATAGCAATACAGCGACGTGCACTCGACGAACTGCAGCCGGATTTACGCGCGAAGCGCGCATCGCGCCACCTGTTGGCGCCATTTGAGATAACCGCGCTTAGCTTCGTTTTGATGTAAAAAAGACTGTATTAAG